ACACACTTTGTGTAACCCCAAGCAACACACGAAATCCATTTAAAATCACTAAAATATTAATAAATTTTACAAAAGTGCGCAACAAAATATGCGTGAAAATTCTCAAGTGCGAGCAACTAAACCTTGAACAACTTTATTTAATGGAATTTAAAACCACTTTTCATTGGGTGGTTGGCTGGTTGGGCAGCGGGTGGTTCATGGCTGAGTTTGCCTGGGGCGGCTGGCTAGCAAAAAATACACTGAAATGGAACCACAATTGCATGAGCTAACCTTTGACATGCTACGCACCCTGAAAAAAATCTAAAAATCTAAAAATAAAAAAAATAAGAAAAGCTCACTTGGGTGTCAATGCCAACTGTGCCGCGTGCAGGTCCTGAGCAGCTTATGGCCAATTGAACGCTACCCACCCATCCGACCAAGCCAACAGTCACAGCGGGTGGTGCGGCCAAATCCAATAAAACCGCTTTACAAGCTGTAAAGCAAAGATCATGAATCCCATTTGGTTTAGCAGCTCAAAACATTTTATGCGCACCTTTTTTTTTTAAATAATTCAATTCTAATATTAAATACACAAATGTATTTAAATTAAATACAAATTTAAAAAATATATATGGATAGAGATTATTTCTACAAATTTAGTTTTACAATTCTACAGATTTATTGCTCTTCTAAAACTTTGCTCAGAATTGACAGCAAAATGTAATTACATTTATTTATTTAAAAGTGTCTTTAAATCTCTTAATTTTATTAAATGTTTTTAAGTACAAATTAAAAAATTTTTAATTCTAAAGGTTTTTCAATTAAAAAAAAATGGCTTACATAATGGCTACGCTTTTTGAGGGTGAAATTAGCATAAAGGGTTGCTAAAACAAAATGTCAGCTCTTAAGCTAAGCAAAATTTAAATATTTGTATACATATATATAGTATATAAAAAAATTATATATAATAATAATTATATTTTATATTATGCACAATATTTTTTATATATTTATATTATATATATATATATCAAAATTGTTGCTGCTAAAATTCTCCAAAGGGTTGCTCTTTAAATTTATATAAAGCTTTCAAATCTTTACGAAACGGTGAGAAAATTTCTCAAAAATTCCGTTAGTTCTTCAACAGACAAAACCCTAGTTAATCAAATGTACCTTTCTTACCCTCGCTCCCTACTATCAAAAAAGACCCAAAAGAAAATCACCCATAGCAAGTAAAAAATTGCATTGTTCAAACCCAAGAAAAAATTCGATTTTTGCCTATTTTTAAATTTCACATCTTTTTACATTAAAAAATTGCGCATTATTGAGGCACATTATTGCCCTAGCATAGGGGTTGCTAGGGGCCTCAGACCAACAGTGTGAGAGGGAGAGGGAAAGGGAGAGAGTGAGAGATAGACTGTGTGTGTACAAGTGCGTTTGCTCTGCAGCTAAGCTGTGCAAGATCTTTGGTAATCCTTGACAATGATCCTCAATTTTTACCCTTGAGTTTCTTTTCACATTTTTTTTTTACCTATTTTCTTACCCAAAAAAAAAAAAAGGAACAGAAAAAATTTTCGCTACGCATTTTCAATAAAATCAAGGAAAATGCAACGAATTTTTTTTTTTTTTTTTTGCTGTCCGAAGGGTTGCATTTGACAGCAATTTTTGGTGTTTTTTTCTTGCTTTTTTCTTGTGGCTGAATCGAATTCAATAAACGTTAATAAATATCACAGCAAAGAATGGAACAGTATTGAGGTATGACGAAGAAGAAGAAGAAGATGAAGACTAAAGACGGCGCTTAAAATGCGGAAGTAAAGGGACATTTTATTCATTCGTTATTTCTTTGCTTTTTTGCTTTATTTTGAAGGCTGTTTTTTTTTTTCTTTGTGTGCTCGCGGCATTTCCGTTAAGAATTGATTTGGGGTTTACCTTTGATTTACTATCGAAAGGGCCTGATTTTTCCACTTATTTTTGGCGCGAATTTATCAGCAGTTGGGCAAATGTTGAGCGGGTTAACACAAGGGTTCTCAGTTGAGAAAAAGAAAAAGAGTGGAAATCGTAAAGGACTGCGACAGAGAATGTTCGAAAAGCCTCGAGAAGCTTGTAGGCGATTTAATTTTTATAATATTAATTTTATTAAGTTTTAAATGAAATTTACATATTTTTATATTTCCTAATAAATTCAAATATTTTATTCAAATTTTATTTCTAGTTTCTTAACGATAGCACTTAAAGCCAATTGCACAAAATAGAATAACAAATTAAGGCAAACTTTAGACACAGCTAGCTACAACCCCCTATTAAGAGAAACAGACAAAGTGGATGAAGAGGAAGCATACAAACTAGCCTCAACTAGTCCCATTTTATTTGCTTAACGCAAATTGGGATGTCATTTTAATGCAACACCAACAACAACAACAGCAGCAGCAACAGCAACAAGGACTCAAGTCAACCACTGAATATCCTGCTGCCAGGGGCTGTACGCTTTTCATGCAAAGTGCGTCGTCCCCTTTATTTCGTTCGATGCTGCCAAGCGTTTATTTTCTTGATTAATTTCAATGTTCGAGCAAAAACTTTGTTGCTGCTCCCTTTTTGTGTGGAATATTTACATGTGTCTGTCTCTCTCAGTGCTCGTCTTTCTCTTCCTCCCCGCGCTCTCCCCTTCCAGCTGTCTCTTCTCTGTCTGTTTTTGGCAAATAATCAAATTGGACTTCGCAAGCGACTGCAGATTGTTTATCTTTTGTTTCATTCCGTGACAAGTTTAATCAGGCTACGTGGAGCAGGACACACAGAGAATATACGCAGGACACACTGCAGGGCCTGTGCAGGACAGCAGTCAAAAGGATAACTATTGAAATTAGTTGGCAAGCAACATACAGCTTTTCCTCTAAGCGCTCACGAAAAAGGGACGCAGATTTTCCTATTGATTTTCCTCGAAACGCATTTTTGTATTTTTTCCCACTTAAATCATTTTGGCACTTTAATGAGAATGAAAAAGAGAATAGAAAAGAGAGAGCGGGAGAAAGGGGGCTGCTTGTCCTGCGGTCTTTCATATCCTGCTTCAACATTAATTTTGCAGTTTTAATTAAAACATTTTCCACCACACAAACAAGAAGTGGGACGCACATTCGCCCCTTCAATATACCCTGTACAAATTTGTGCAAGTGTGCAACAAAATAGAAAAAGCTGGTAATTTGGGGCACATATGCTTAAATTTTTCATTGAGATTCAAAATCTAAGAACAAGTAAATATTGCAACTGATTAAATGATATTAATTAAAGAGTGTCAAAATTGTTTACAAGGTATGTTACTTTAGAATATCGGATATCAGTGCTATCTGCAGAGTAACCTGCTGATTAGAAGCGATGTTTCACGGCATAAGCATTGTTAACAAACTGTCTCTCACATGACGTCAGTAAAACTTACACAGTATCCTATAGTTGCGCTTCCTTTCTCTGTTTTCGTAAGCAAAAACCACAGCCGTTTCTGGAATCCAAGTCCTTGCAGCACTTCTGCTACCCACTCATAATCATAAAATGTATACGCTGTCACCGAAGAGCCACCCACAACTCTCCTATAGGAGACATAGGACCCTCCACATGCCCCCATTTCCCCTCTCCACACATATACATACATAGTGTTGCCTCTTTGTTCACACATCGCACGTCGGTTGCAAGTGGCAAGTGCTTTCGTGCTGCTGCTTTTCTGCAGTGATGCAAAAAGTTTTCACACCCCCAGCTCCGCAATGCAAACCCCCCCTCAATAACTTTCATATATAGAAAAGCAGAAGCAGAAAAACAACAACCAAACTTGTTGTAATTATTCCCTAAACTCCAAACTCGAAATGGGCTTTAGTGTTTATATAATAAAAACTTACGAAGTGCACACAAATACACATGCACAGACACACACATTTACATGCATCTGCATTTTGCTCAATTGCCAACATTTATATACTAATACACACACATATAAGCACACGCTTCATGTAAAGTCATCTAATAAGCTCAAACACCTTTATGTGCGCTCACACACACACGCACACATCCTAATTATGATCCATGTACTTGAGTGCAAGCGAAATATGCAAAAAGAAATATTTAACGGCAACTGCGCAGCAACGCAGCGAGCTGCTCATATTGCACATGCATATGTATATGTGCATGTGTGTGTGTATGCATATATAGCGAGCGCATTGGCCACACCCATTTCACTCAAACTCTATGCTAATGCATACCAAACGCTGCGCAGGGGTAGGTATGCAACGGGACAATGACAACACAAAGTCTAATCAGAATGCAGGCAGCCACAGCTGAATACGTTCCACACACACACACACACACATTCACTCACTCACTAGCTTCACTCACACGCTCACTCGCACTCACTGCTCTGCGTAATTTAACTCAACTCTAACGGTGCAGGGTTGATAACTGCCTGAGCGCAAACATTTGAGCGCAATACTGTAAGCAAATGTGTGCCAGAGAGTGAGTGAGCGGGCAGAGGCAACAAAGAAAACTAGGCAAAAGGAGAAAAACAACAACAACAACACCAACTACAGCAATTGCTGCTGCAAATCATAAAGCATACACTCAGCCACTCACACACACACACATACACACGCACACACAGTCTGAGGCAGGCAACTGCAGCGACATCGACAGCACTGTGTACCGTTTGTCGCTGGCCTCGTCGTTTCAGTTGCATTCGGCAGGCGAACGAAGTCGGTTCGGCACAACTCTTAGTCGCAGTCGCAGTCGCCAACGCAGTTGCAGTCGCAGTGCAAAAGCCGCATTTGTTATTGCTTTTTATACGATTTAAATTCTAACTAACTTCTACTAAACGAGCTGGCAACACTGTGCGCGCTCACTGTGACTTGCAAAAAAAAAAATTACAAACAACTTTTTGACAGAACAATCGCATTTACATATATTAACGAAAGCCAGTGAAAAGTGAATTACAATTTTTGAACATTTTGTGCATGCATAAAAAGAAAAACAATTAAAAAACGAAATATAAGATGATGTTGCTACAGCAGCAACAACAGCGCCGTCTGTGGGATGCCACCAAAGCAACAACAACAACAAAAACCACAACTGGATCACCAACTGCAACAACAACATCGGCAGAGGCCACAGCAGAAGTCGGCAACAAATTGGATTTGAATTTGGACGATGCAGCTGCGAAACGTCGAGGCATTCGTCTAATTCAACGCAAGGATCAGGAAGACACAAGACACGCATGTAGGAGACGATATTCCATATTTTTAATCCCTAAGTATACACTGCGATAAGGTTGCCATATAGCCAGTCTAACTAAGCAAAGCTCGGCTAAAAGCTTGCCTTGCTAGCTTCTGCGTAAAGCTTAGCTTGAATCGTTCTTTTATACGTTTTTATATAAATATACATATATAATAATACAGAAATTATTTAATTAAATAAATAATTAAAACAATTAAATTCGTAATCAGATTTGAAAAATCTCATAAATTTTAAAATACCTATATGATTGAATAAATCAAAAATGATTTAAAATCTGAAAACATTTGAATGACATAAAAAAGAAATAATACTAAAACTATAAATTTAAAATATAATAAAACAAAAAGCAAACACAATTGAAAAAAAGCAAAAAAAAAAAAAAAAAAAAAAAAAAAAAAAAAAAAAAAAAAAAAAAAA